TCTATTCTCAAGGTTAAGATATCTTCTCTGTACTCATTAATTTCTCAGTCCTTGCTCTTAACTCTTCTCTTATCGGTTCTCACCTGTCTTCTCCATTTCTACCTGTTTTAATTTTCATGAGGCCTGCTTTCCTCATGATTAACTGTTTACACATAGTTACAATGTTAGCATTGAAGTAAAGACAGCCTAAGGACTATGAGAATAGGCCATTAAACATAATCACACAGTTATTAGGCTAAAGAAATCTATATAAAAGTTAAACTAATCACCTAATCAATAACCTTCCAAAAAGTATATATATAGAGAAATTGACCTTATAATTGTTTTAGATCCTTGTTTCACTGTCATTAAAAGAAAAAATTCACAAGTAAAAATTGACACAAACTCCTTTCAACTTAAAAATTACCTGATAAAATTTTAGATAGTATTTTGATCCAAAAATTAACATAACCAGAAAGTTAGCAAAACACTATCAACAAATTTCTTCCAAGTTTGTGCATTATCAGTTTCATTACTTGCATTGCATATGCCAATGTAATCAGTCAACAGGTCATGATTTCCTGCAAGGTAATGCACAGATTTTAGAGGATCATAACACTTACCTTCCTATTTTACCAAAATTAGATTCTTCTGCTGCCTTTCTACCTAGCAGCTAGGATTGAAAAAAAAAATAGGAAATTTTTGTAAAGTTCCAAGTGAAGCATAAGAGTTACTAACTGCCTAGCTCTGGGTGAAATACAACAGTTAAAAGTAGCATTTTCTCCTCAATATGTTGGAGAGATCAACGTTTCATCCACAAAATGTGAAATTTTGCTACAATTTCCTGGATTTGGTAAAGTAGGCATGCATGTCCCTGGATTACTGGAGCCTATCTTTTGCTTTCCATCTTTCCTGACAGAATAAATCAGAACGATTTTCAATTCATATTCCCTCTTCAGCTCTCACTTCCTTAAGATATTAGAATCATCCTTATTTTCCTACAGGTTTGTTTGTCGCTAACTTCCCTGTGCGGCATACCAAGAACAAATCTCTGGCTAGCTATGCCAAGACCTCCTCTGAAGCATACTGATATACATACACAGACGGCATTCGCTTTTACAAATTAAATCTACTGACTTCAGGTGAAGCATGCCCCCTCAGTATTAAAGGGCAACACCAAGCACATCAGAACTCCTACAAAGATGCTTAGCTTGTGAGTAACAACAACTGAGATGCTTCAAAACTGAAAATTCCTGATAGCAACTATACTGTGGTTAGATTGACGTGAGCTGGACTGACATATAACCGTTGCAGAAAACCTCAAACGCTCTGGAGTCTTGCTTGTTGTATCTTGAATCACCTGAGCAAACCGTTAAGTGGTTCAGGAAGCATATGGAGCTAAAAGTCCTCGGTTACCACACTCTGGAGTACACTAACAGCTTTCTCACAGACTCCTTAACAGCTGCTCTACCTGGAGTGTTTTTGCTTTTGTCTTGCAGGAGTTCTACCAGAAAGGCCTGGTGGGGAAGACAGCACCACCAGACCTTCAAGCAGAACTAAGAGACAGGCTAGAACGCCAGTTCCTACTAACAGCGAGCCCACCACTGCACAGCTCTTCAGTACTAGTCACTTCCACACGGAGATTTGGCACGAACATCCGTTCCCCTCCTCCCCAGCCGATGCCTTCTCTCTCCAGCTGCTCACAGCGGCTCCCCCCGGACGCCCCCGCAGAGCTCACTGTGATGTTCCGGCCGTCCAACGCGGGGAGCGGCCCTGAGGGAATGGAGGGAGCCGAGGCCCTCCTGGCCCAGCCCCACCG